AAGGCATTTTTTTCTGCTTTAAATTACATTTTGCTCATAAATACCACAATCCAATGGCCAGATACTGAGCACATCTATTCTCCCTTCTCCTGTTGGACAGTGTGAACTTTAGCACCACCTTCAGGCCAAACTGACTAACTGCATTTGGTATAGTTATTCACAGTTCAGGGGAAAACATCAACATGTATTATTTATTAGCAGTTAACACTCAAAAACTCAGTTAATCTGTTTTATCAGGACTGTGTGTGTGTGTGTGGTTGAAATGCTGATTGGTGCAACCCTGCCCACTTCATGAACACAAATCCAAAATCTCTCTAATGGAATATGCAAATAAGTTAATATCCATCCACAAACGTACCTCTCCCTCTATCTCCTCTTTTATCTCCCTCTGCTCTTTGAGGATGAGGACAGATGAGCAGACTTTCTGGGTGCCATGAAGGCCTTTCAGCAGAGTCACACGGAGCTCCTCAGGGCCAGGGTAGGGGTATGGCATGCTTTGATCTTCAGAGAGCTGGTTCTGGTGGTTGGAGGGTTGGGGTTTGATGAAGCATTTGACTTGTGCTGTACCATTGGTGGTCACCACTCTATAGGGCTGGATCACCTTCACAGCTGGCAGAAAAAAAGGGGAAGGTTGGGGGAAAATAGTATTAATAGTAGTAAGAATTGGAGTGCAGAGTGTGTTGTATTTTTGTGTCCTGCCAGTCTTTACCTCATGATTATGTACCGATTGCAAAGGGCAAAGTCATAACAGACAAGACCTCTGCAGATTCATTGTTTATAATAGAACAGACAGCATGTTGCAACAGCAGGTTGCAACCAACTAAATAACGCTCGCCTTCCAAAGCATGTAGGAGGAACTACGGTGGCCATAAATTGCGCAAAAAACACGAACGCCCCGATGTAGAGCCAGTGTTTGGTTTGTCTGTTCTGGACTTAGTAGAAACATTGCAGTTCATTATGGCAGATTTCATAGTTCAAGTCTTATTTTCAGGTGTTTATACTATATATTTTATTCCATTTCTGCCAATAGATCCTCCTAAATGTTACACACTGATTCTTTAAGGGAAAAACTTACTGCTGTCTGCGAAGGAGCATGCTACAAACTTTTTACCGCCATCTTTGAAGTTTGCAGGCAGCGGTGAGCAATGGAAAATTTACACTGACTGATAAGTGTTTTTGACAGTTGAAAATTATTACGTCATGAAAATGTTAGTAAATTCCTCTACTAATTGCTAAACATTAGAGGTAATTTATTTAATTACTTGCTACATTACTCAGCTCTGTCAAAGGTGACTTACAAAATCCTGAAACTCTCCACACCCACACTTCCTCTGCGTTTAATGCATGTCGACATAAAAAAATGAAACATTGTGGTCTGACTGCAAGAAGCAGCTCTGCAGAAATCAAGCTGTGGGGTTCATGTTCATTCCTCAATGTAAGCTAACAAGTGGCTGGCTAGCTAAGAAGCTAAACAAACACCTTCCATCTAGGCTCTCCACAGAACTCACAGAAAAAAAACACTGATATTGACCCTCCCATCCACAGCCAACAAGCCAACACCTCAAAAAATTTGAATTTTTTCCATAATATACTCGTAATTACTGAATTTCAAATTGTAATTTCTTTAACTTCTTGTTACTGAAAAAAATGTTAATATAGCATTAAACACTAGTCTCTGAAAACCCTTAGCCAGAAGAACTGAACTGCAGCATTTTCAGTAGGACAGTTTTACCAATACCACCACAGGAACATGAATAACAAAAATTCCATAATGAAAACTCCAATTGATTCCGCAGCAATGCTTTGGTGAAAAGCAGTTAGATAGAAAAGTTTCATAAGCATTTTTATCATAGTCTCTATCTGTAAGCACTCAGGATGGAAAAGCTTTAGGGGTAATATATTTTGGAAAATATGCTTATTAGCTTTTATCTATCCATCTTCTCATCTAACTTTAGTAAGTAAGTAAGAACGAAAGCATATTTTGAAAAATGTTGTACTACACTTTTAACAATGTACTGCATGAGTGTAGTTTATAATCTATGTCCATTGCTATTCCAGTCCATCTTCTTCTTCTAATGGTATTTTGTTCAGTGCCAAAATAAAGGAGGTGGTTTCTAATAGACAACACATTCCAATGTGTTTTACACCTAAAAACAGTTCAAGATTTCTACCTTTATAGGTCTGCTCCACCACCACAGAACACATCAGTATGACAATAGTGTTTGTACAGTACTGTCACATAATGTATTTTCCTACAAATGTATCTACTCGCCACATATTATTTGTGAAATCGTATTAGAAATTAAAACCATTCCGTGTTAATCAGGCTTTTGGCTCAAGATTAGAAAAATTGAGTCACCTTAGGCCAGGTCAGCATTTTAGTATCTGGTCTAAAGAGAGAGTGTAAAGAGGTCCAGCAAAACTGTCAAATACCAGTTTGTTGAACACCCAGTTTGTTACCCAGTTGAGCATTAACACTGGACTGTGCAAAAAGTGTGACTAATCCATGTACTGGACATCCCTATCATCACATCAGCATAAGTGTGTTTATACTCACCACTCCACACAGGCAGGCAGAGGCTGAGGACTGCCAGCACAATCCATTCCATCATACAGTGAGTCAGGAGCATCCTACAGTGTCTCTCACAGCTACACAGAAAGCCACAAACACTTACAGTTTACAAAACACTGGTGAGCACACACCTTCACACTGAGCAAATTTCATTAAAATACAGCAAAAAACAGTAGAACTTACCTTTATATTGGTGTTTCCCTCAACTGTCATGGAAACTGTGTGCCACAGGAAATGATGATGATTGCCAGTAAAGAGAGACAGCAAGGCTCTAACCCTGCTGCGGTTCTGCAGGAAAGCCGAGAACTAATTTCAGTGATTTTAATGAACCAGACTCGTCTCAGTGTTATTACCAGACGCTTTTTCTTGCAAAAGGAAAGAATCAGTGGAAAAAAGAATGAAGGTTGCACACTAATATTGTATTATTGTGTATGTACAAAGTCATAATGCAGTAAAAGTCACATAAAATATGCTGTTTTATATGAGATTCATCAGTTGATTCAAAAGCTTCTTAAAACAGGTTGATATGCCTTCGAAATGAATCTATTCAACCTTTTTGCAGGGTGGAAAGAAATGTACTGAGACTCAAATGACTTGTTCGCGTGGAAACTTTTACACTTTAGATTACTGTGGATTGTCCTACTGACGCTCTACGAATTTTGATTACAGTGGAAAATATGAATATATAATAAGATACATTTTTATTTAGTTTTGACTGAATAACTACATTAGTTTATTTTTTTGTATTCATGAATGTACCCAAATTAAAAGAGAAATGTTTTTTTCATATTAATCTTTACAAGTTTGTGAATAATTTACAGTTCTCCCAAAGGCTATTTGACCTGAATGGAACAGAACCTTATTTAGTATCATTGGTAACAACTGTGTTTACCCTACTATTTCATGTCATGATGGCTTCTGTGAAAAAAAATCCATTAATATTCCTTAGATCAATATTACCCCCTCCATGTCTTTCTAGTAACTTAAAATGCAACTGAAGGGTAGCATTCACCACATTCGCAATTCAATTCAATTAAATTAAATATTTGTATAGCGCCCAATTCATAAACCAGAAGGTTACCAGGACACTTTTCAATAGAGCAGGTCTAGACCGAACTCCTTATAACATTCGCAATGGAGCAAATGGGACGTTCTCTCAGCGTGAACAGAGAAAAGCTGCATATAGGAGCAGAGTGATTACACAATGCTTTGAGTGGGATGTACAGTAGAACTGCTGCAGCTCCACTACAGGCACTTACTCTGGCTGGAAATGAGAGGAATTCAGTAACAGCTCACAACCAGCCAGAAAGTATTACTTGACATCACATTTTCTTTTTTGAATACTTAAATGACCAGTGTGTAGGAGAGGGGCACCAAAGAGTACTTAGACATTTTACGTGGATCACTCCCTCTTTTGACGCTCAGTATTTAACACCCGTTCTTTTTCTCCCAGTTGCTCCGGGCTGCTTTGCTTCAGAGTACCAGGACCCACTGGGGCCTCTGAACGACTGTAAAGCAATGACAGGGATGGCTCCCCCACTCTGAGTTTCAAGCTCCGAAACACAATTCCCTCCCATGACTATTCTCGCCGCTGGCTGACACAGACCAAAGAAAGGGGGGAAACCCCATTCCAAGCTCGCTCCTCAGGCTATCCAGGCCGAGTCGCTCCACAACACTGATTTCTCCCGCAGGCCCTTCCTCTCGAAGGACCTCTCAACGCCGTTACGCAAGTACATCCGCGTCAGCTCAGTTCCAGTCGACCCTATCTTCATACCTCACCCCTCCTTCCTTCATGCCCTACCTACGTGTTCATTAGTCTTGGTTTAGTTGAATTGGGAGAAAGTGGAATATGATATTCGATAGGTATGCTTCATTTGAGTTGTGATGGATCACCTGATATAAGGAATTGTTGGTGTTTTTGTTTACGAAGAATTGAACAGTTTTTTTTATCTAGCAGATGGAGCGGGTCCTCGTTCTATGGGATGCCGCAATATTGAACTGCAGACGAAAACAACACTGGCCACTTGGATAGGCATATTTCATGCCAAAAATTGACTACAGCGCTTGGAATATGAGGGTGTACACAAATTAGATGCCACTACG